CCAATGAATGGCCGACTGACTCTGCCCTCTGTAAGTGCAGAGCCAGTCTTCATAGGTGCTGCCTACTCCTCAGCTACACCTCACCAGCCAGTGCAACCAGAAGACAGAAATCGCTGAAAACGTGTGGGAATCATGTCCAGGTGGCAAGGATGCTAGTTAGCGCGTGTGACTTAAGAGTAGCGCTAAGTATCTTGGCTAAACAGCTTGATTTTCCGAATAAAATCATTTGAGTCTAAAGATGGAGTCATCATGTGGTAGAGACAGATACAGATCACTGCCTCTTATTAGTTGCAGCCGTGAGTGAGACCCAGGTTTCATGAATGTTGCAAGCACAGCACTGTGGGAATGGAGATCATTAAGTCAGAGCTGCATACTGATCCTGACTGTGTGGCACCTCTGCTCCCCACACGTAGACCTGTAGGGATCATACTGCCCTCCTCTCTGCCCATCTAGATTCAGAAGGCTCCCAAGTGACGTGACTTCAGTGCAAAACAAAGGATGTCACTTCGGAGGGCACAGGGGTGCTCACTGACATTCACACCACGGCTGGCAGAACACCTTGTGTTTACTCTTTGCTTCCTGATGCATGCTTGTGTGCTGGGCAGACACACAGACTTTTCTCTCAAGGCTTGGTGGAAGCAGACCCGAGCTCACACTCTGCTGGAGCAAAGGGCTTGGTTGTGAGAGAAGAGACTGTTTATAGTGCTAAACGGACTGTCATTGCATAAGTGGGATAGGCGCAGTGGCCAAGGAAAGCAGTGACCTGATGACTCAGTCAGCCGATGCTCCTCCTGCCAAGCAGGGAGACAGAGAGCCCAAAGTGTTGGTTCAGAAGGAAGTATGGAAGCCTTGTGGCCTATATCTCTTAGTGATTGTGGCTAGCTAGTGGGGCAGATGTATGTCAGGCAATGACAGTGCTTACAATCAATGTCAATGAGTGTGAGAGTCAGAATAATACTGTCCCTGTGACTCTTCATAAGTGACTTTAGTCATGCCTGGCAGTAGACAAGCAAACTCTGTCAGGGTCTCTCATGGACTCTTCAAATGTGGTCATGGAGAATCTCAATGGATCCGGAGGCCGCTGATAGCCAGCAATATGACCTTAATAGGGCACCATCCTGCTAGGAGACCAGCCACCACACAATGTTGGCAGCAAACTCATAGAAGACAGTGGGGGAGAGAAGAGGAGGTGGCACGTGATACCAATGTCAGGGACTCAGCCCTGACTTCACCTCACTGCCACCTGGCCTTCCAGGGTTTCTGCAAGAAATCTGTCCCTGCACACTGTTATTTAAAAAACATAGAAAACCAAACAATAACAGTAACACTAGCGGTGACAAAACCCTGAGGAATTAGCTCTTGACCTTCCTCTTAGAAACAAGGCTTGTTGCCAATTTTTGCCTCAAGAAGATACAGATGCCGCTATCTGGCTCTCTTTTGCCATTGTTAAGCTTTAGAAAGCCCAGGCAGGCATCACCCCTAGAAACGCCTCCAATCTAAAGCCTCTCCCAGGAGGTACCGTGTTAATGCTCCATCATCTCCCATTACCCTGAAGGTTTCCCTTGCCGTGAATCACTCGTTCACATAGGGCTGTGGAGCTCCTTGCCCAGTGTGTTGTCCCTGGTGTGTGGCAACAGTACTCAGCCTCCAGTATTCAGGTCAAGGCTGTGACTGCCATGCCCCACCTTCATTCCTGCTGGGACAGACAAAGTTCTAGGATCCCCAGCCCTGCCTAAAGAAGCTCTCATCCCTGCTGCCTTTCTCCACAGGGAACGTTGACCTTTTCCTGGGGTGCTCAGCAGGCTGATGTAGTCATTACTCCTTCTACAAGCTTGTTTGGCGGGGTGCCAGGCATCCTCAGGTCCCAGGTGCCTGTGGGTTTAACATCCACAGTTAGCTTCCAGGACAACTGTGAATAAGTCCAGGAGTGCAAGGGCCTCTGGTCCTCTGTCCCTTGGTCAGCTGAGCTTATCCCGATGACCAGGGAGGTAACTAGCTAGGAACATGACAGCCACAGTCACCTCTCCCGGTGCATCTGATATTCCCAGTGTTTGAGAGCAGAGCAGAGGCACAGCCTGGCCTCTCTAAGGGACAGAGCTACTCCACTTTCCCAGAGCTTGCTTGGACCCAGGTTCAGAGCTGCTATGCCGTGGTTTATTAATACAAGTCAAGAGATGTCAATATGCGCGGCAATAAATGTGCAAGTAGAAACACAAATGTGTTTCAAAAGAGATTAGGATTTTAACCAGACCACTAGAGCCTCACAGACTCTGAAAATCCTCGAGGGTAAAGCTAGTTCTGAAAATCAGATCAAGCTTTGCCACGGCCAGGACTGTGGTGACCATCACACACTTATGTTCAAGGAGATGAAACAGTTACTGGTAAAGGAGGGGTGTCCACGGATGCTCTTTATGTCCAGAGCTCGTTCTGCACTCCAGGTGGCCTCTAGTGCTTTTAGAGGCCAGGTATCTAGCCAGGCTTGAGGGACGGCCTAATCGGCATAGAAGAGTCTGTTCATATCATCCTACTTAGACGTGTGGCCTGTTTGTAGAAATTGGGCAGCAACCAGGTCTCAGTAACTTACAGATAGGGCTTCATCATCATGTTCTTAGGACCCATTGTAGTTTCACGAGGATAGATAGCTAGGACATCTGGTCAAATGAATGCAACTGGCTACACAATGTCGGCTGAGATTGAGGAAGGGCACTTGGAGGGTGGAGATGCCTGGTAAGTTGGAGATGTGCATTAAATGGGGGCATATTTTGTATTCCAGAGAATTAATATGGGAGGAATTTGAAGTTTGGTTAACTATCTCCAGTGAGGTGGGACCATTGATGTCATGGGAGGACCTAGGGAGGTGTGATGTGTGTGTGTGTGTCTGAGACACCTGGTAAGATGAAGCACTTAGTATATGCAGGACACCTGGTGGTAGAAGGATACTTCATAAAGTGGGAGAGCTATTGAGCTGAGGATACCTGGGAAAGTGGGAACTTCTGGTAAAATCTGTCTTCCCAAGCAAATTATAAAGATCAACGAGAGAGGTGGAAAAGCCATTTTCAGGAATGGAATAATGGCATCTGGAGAAGCGAGTTGAAGATGTACCACAGCCATTTTAAAGAAAGGAACATGGAAACCAGCCATTGAAAGAAAGATTTCCTAAGCATTGATGTCATTTCAGGTCTCTCCATCCTGCTCCCTACATTTCTGGGAAAGCCAGCTGGATATATAGACACACAAACATCTTCCATGTCCCTAAGCATTTTGTCTGTGTCTTACCAGTTGTGTGATCTGGGCCATTTCTCTTGCCACGTGTTGCAGCTGAGGTGAAAGATGTGGACCAAACTGAGTAAATCAGGGTTGCTATTTGTCTCACAGGACTTTGGGGAAAGTACTGTGTGCCTCTTGGTCTCTGCTTTTCAACAATATGGTTGTGAGAATGACTTTTCGTAATACTTGAATAAGATAGCATGGAAAAGACACCTTTTTCTTGGCAGGGGCAAGGGTGTAAATGTCAGGAGTAGCACTCTGCCACTGGTGGTAAGCCCTGCTGGGGCTTCGCAGGTATGGCTCTGCCCTCTCGTCATACCTGTGGTGTGCAGTGTGTTCATTTCTCAGTACTTCAGTTTTTATCCTTCCTTACTATGCTTCTCCTAGGATGCTGGTATGAGACTCTGATCATGTGCTCAAGGATAGGTTTGCCCATATGGTATTTGTCAGTGACAGGAACAGCAATCATGCTGATAAGATCCAAGGAAGTACAGGCTGCAGGAAGGTTGCTCTGCTTTGCAGTTGATACTAACAGGGCCACTGACAATGCCATTCATCCACTTCTCCTGTGGTCACCACAGCCATGTTGTTGATGGCACTGTACTACCCACTCAACATGCTGATGAGCCACACAGCCCCAATCCATGGGTTCCAACTCTGCATCCAATCACTTTTGATTATGACCAGTATGATGCTTGAAATGACCTTCGTCTCCCCGCCCTGGAGAAATGAGTAGGGGTTCTTGAGAATCTATAGCAAGGGCAGCAGCCTTGTAAATGAAGCCTCTTCCATCTGGAAAGACAAGGCTGGGCTATGGTGGGTAGCTGAGCTAGCACGAGAGGACTAACTTGCCTAGTTAGTTAGGACTGAAACTCTGCCTTCACCAAACCTTTAAGAGATGGCAGTTTTGGCATCCCTTGAGTTTAAAACGCATCACTTTAGGGCCAATACCCTCCCTGTTTTATACAACACTTCATGAAGCTGAAATCCTGAGAGGCTGGGCTAAAAGAAAAATGTGAAAAACAAGCTGTGAAACGGCCTATGAATAATTCTGACAGTAACCAGAACCATGCCATCTACTGCACCAACTGACGCCCGCCACTGTCTCTTGGCCCCAGGAAGTCTCCAGCAATCCTATGAAGCAAACCTTTCAATTATCCTGTCCCAGGGACACAGTTCAAAGAGTTGCAGACATCTGTCCCAGAAAACAACCATAAAATAGCATGACTGAATTTGAATCCAGGTTAGATTGACCCCCCCCCCCAATCTTCTACTTTCTACCTGGCCAGCTCACTCAGCTCTCATTGGTTCCTCTTCTCTACAGTCCTACCCCATTTAACTGAGGAAAACAATGCTAGGAATTTTTGAAACATTAAGAGTTCAAGGTCAAAAGCGGGGGCAGTGTCAAGTGGGAGAGACTGAACTTGTTATCACTATTCCCAGGCAGGGGCTCTCACCTGTACTATACCCTTAAATCACCAGGCTGAATTTCTGACGAGCTAAGTCAGTATTTCTGGGGCTTTGATGCCAGGATTCCAGAGACTGGGACTATTGTAAAACTGCAGAGAGAGCCCAAACAGAGCGCCTCTGCATAATTTGACGGTGCTCACGATGGACTTGTAAGCAGCCAGGGCTGTGTGATTCATGATTCTTTCCCCGCAAGGCCGCCCAACCATAGTTGCTGAGTGCTGGCTGGCTCTTTCACTAGTAAAACATGAAGTAAATCATCAAAACAGAGCCCAGCCATCACCATTCATCAGAAAGGAAAAACTCATAGGCAAACAAGCTAAAAGATAATTTTTGTTAAATAATGAACACTCGTAAAACAGCAATGACATGGTATTAAAACATCTGTGATTACTTATTTCTCAGCATTCATCTGGCAACTGAAGCAGCATGAAGCAAGAGTTGCACTTAAAAAATGACAAGAAAATAGCCATTCATTTAGTCGACAGAGTAAGGCCCATTTCATTTCCGGGATCCCAGTATTGCTGCTCACGGCCAGGATGAACGTCCAAGAGTTAAACATCCTGTGTGTCTTCACAGTTCCTTTCCCTCAGGCTGAGCTTGTTCTTGAGAGAGGTGGGGTTATGGCTGCCTCCGCTTTAAGACTGATGAGGCCCCAGAACTGTGTATTGCTGGGTATCTGCAGGAAGCCTGCAGGAAGCCTGATGCTCCAAGCTGGGACAGCGTGCTGGGATGGAGCAGGGCCAGGGTAGGCGCTATGCTCCTCTAGGTTCGCATTCTCAGGCAGGACCCATCTGTGGACAGAGATAGCCAATCTCCCATCATGTGCTTTCGGCTCCTCCTGAGCCCCACTTGTTTCTGACAAGAAAGCCACAAAGATGGGGGACACAGAGGAGTTAAGCGGGCCACAGCTGTGGTGACATGTCTCCTGCATTCTGCCTATTGCACCATATTCCATAAAAAATAAACGTATTTTTTTTAACTGTTTGTATATTGCTAATGGGGTGGCGGTCCAGGCACTGGCAGGCTGCAGAGCTGGGTTGTCATTGATCCCGTAGAATCCACCCAGGGGCTGCCGCTGGGCTGGAATCTTTAGAGCTTCCATGTGGAAGCGTCAGCATTGCTCGCCGCCTGATGCTCTGCACAGTGCTGAAGGTGAAGTGGAAGGATACGAAACAAAAAGAGGAAGAAGTCTGGGAGTAGAAGATTGCAGGGCATCATGGAGTCAGTTGACAATCATTGTACTATACAGCATCACGCAGGTGTCTCTTCTCTGCCCTCACACGGGTGGCCCGGCTCCCCCTCCTTCCGCCAGCCTTTGGGAAGCTTACAGGTGGTTGTTCTTGGAGAGGTAGGCGATGAGGGCGACGGCCACACCCACGTAGATGCCGGTTCCGATTGTGATGGACAGCACAGCCAGGAACAGGGCCCTCCGGGAGCTGGTGCTGGCCTGATGGAAGTCTCCTTTGGCCACAGCTTTGTTCGTCTGCAGAGACGGCAGAGAGAAACAAAGGGAGAGTGAACGAGTTGGAAATAATGGGGAGGAGAGAATTCTGCTTGGCTTCTTTCCAACATTCAACTTCACCGGATTACAGAAAGGGTATACCAATGCAGGTAAGGACATGGGAACGACATGTATTCCCATAATGACTGGGCACTAGGTAAGTCTCTAACTGTTAAAGAAATGGATGGCTGGTGTTTGTCACCGTTCCACACATGTCAAGGGAGTCAAAGCTCCCATTGTGTCTGGTCTCAAGGAAGTGACATCTTGAAGTATCCTGATGAGACCACACATGTGAAGGCAGGGTCTCAGAAAGGATGCCCCAGAGATGGGCATACCTGCCCTCATCTCTACTGCCACCCTTCCTGCTCAACAATGGTATAGTTTTCGCTAGGATAACAATTTCTAAAGAACATTTTCAACCCTTATAGCCCAGTAGAAGAATGGGGAAGGAAACCGTATTTCTCATTTCCCAGAGAGAAAAGTAGGGCATAATGTTATTAAATGCATCCTAGAAGACCTGCGATTCCACTCCTCAGAAGTTAGCCACCGTGTGCTATGACACCCTTGATTCCTGACTGTTTACCACCCCTGCAAAAGCTGGGGTCGGCACCATTCATCTATTGGTAAAAGTATTCTGTACACGGCTCTCATCTCTGTACTTGAGCACTTGGTTATAGAACAGGGCACTGGTTAAGACATAAACTTTTTGGAGGCATGAGATAAGCAGTGATGTTGAGATTAGGTATTGGCTCAGAATCAGCATTTTGGGGCAGAACCTGCAAACCCTTCTCTAATTCCTCCCTTCCTTGTCCCTTTGCACAGTTGAGACTAAAACCAGGGAGGGGAGTTGGGTGTTGTAGGAAGGTCTCATTCATCTCTGGAAGAACACTGTGAAGTATTTTGTTCTCTGCTAAGATACGAAACTGCGTAAGATGTAAAAGATACAGTCCGCCTTCCTGCCTTGGGACATGGCTATGGAGCCATCTATATAATGGGTGTCTTGAGACTGGGAGAAATCCCAGAGGTGATTACAGAAGTCCATGTCAACACTGAGAGACCTCTGAATCCGTTCCAGAAGCCTCCTGTTCCATATCTGCTGGCTGAGGAACATGAGTCCCTGTGTTCAGATTCTATGGGCTGGCTGGGATTCTGTTGTATCACACAGGCTCCTTGATTCAGGAAGTGGAGTGCTGTGGAGGGACTTCCTGAGTCACATGGCTCATGAACTAGTGGAGTGGATGCTGTGAAGACATCTGATGCCCTGTAGTGATGCTGAGGAAGGCTAATCCTGAGAGATAAGGGACTCTCTGGTCAGCAGAAAGGTATAGCCCACTCTTCTGTGGCATCCCCTAACTGGCTCCATTTTTCATGGTGCATTTGTGATATTTCTGCCTTATATGTGGGTACAGGAGGACATATTGTTCCTTTAACTTAAAAGCAATAACATGCTATGAGTCACAGAAGGTCAGACTTGGCGATAACTGTTAAGTGTATTTTCATTTTCTCAATCTCCGGACTCTGATTTAGGGAGACTGGACATCTGTGATAAGGACTCACTGGACCCCTTCTTTGGACACTAACTTATGAACCTTGAATTCTAGGTTTTATTTTTTTCCTCCCTCATTTCTTGCCTTGGCATTGAACTTGGAAGCTAACAGTGGACAAGGTTCTGATGAAGTGGAACTGAGGGAATTTAAAATGAGAAGACTCAAAGGACAGCAGTAATTAATTAATTAAGCTATAATTAGCTGGGCTGCATTTTATATATCAATGCTTCCAAAGGCTGCAATGTCCTATAACATAATTCAGTGTAATTGCCCATCTTGGCATTAACCCCAAACAGCCCTGGGGCATCAGCAAGCAGCATGGCTTGTCACCAGCTGCCGTTATCTTAGTCTTTACATGGTGTGCCTGGGCTAGGGTGGAGGAGGAGAGGCAAAGGAAGCCTGGGGGCGGGATAGAGCCCACTTTAGCTGATCAAGAACCTTCTAGAAGATTCCCCCGAGTTCTACTTCCCTGTCTCATCAGAGTTGAACCTGTAGATACTTACTATGGACCAGGGCCTGCACTTCCCTTGCCCTCCATAGTCACCTGGGAGCCAAGAGTATGCACACAGGTACTGGTGGTATGTTTGTGGGCAGTCAATAACTATTAACGGATGAGTAAGTGCAGAAGTGCTAAAATATTGCCTTCAAAAGTCACGCGGAGTTTACCCTTTAGTAACTGATCTTTATTTTTCTGGGAGTAAAAGCAGGGAGTAGTAGCCTGCCTATCCCTAAGGGTGAACTCTGCCCCCTCCCCCGTATTGAAGGTTCTGAGCACAGGGAGCCAAAGCACTCATACCCAAAGTCACCATGTCTGAGCACCAAGCTTACTCTTTCTTCTCCTGGTCTGCCTAAGAAGAACTTGCTTTCTCTTTGTTGTTGTTGAGTTATTGAATATTTCTTCCAACAAATACCAGGGAGTGTGACTTGAGGCCAGTGTGGCAGAGTTGGTCAAAGCATCATGTAGGTAAGGTCAGGCTGTGCTTCAACAAGGCACTCACGTTTGCTTTTCCCAGGATCAGAGAGTTCCTGGGGTCCCAAAGCTATGAGAACAGTTGTCATTTACCTACCCCATGACCTCCGTCAGGATGGCGATTCCACACCAACCCTTCATCTCAGAGAGTGGGTGACTGTGACTACCAGCCTTCTTCTTGACCCTTTGTGAGGGGACAAACCTGAAGTCCCTACCTCCTGGCTAACAGCATAAGGTCTAGGACAGGTTAATTGCTATGCATGAAGGTTAGGAGTACTTGGCCTGTCTGTCAATGATGGCGACAAGACTGTGTACAAGAGTTTCTTCCTAAGACAAGTTGGCTTAGCTCAGTGAATTCTTCAAGCAGCCCTGCTGCTCCTGACCACTCTGTTGGGGAAAGGGAAGGAGGAGAGGAAGGTCAAGGGACAGATGTGACCAGTGCCTCAAGGCAACTGGGAGGTTGAGGAGATTGGCTGGAAGGAACAGTGCCTGGAATAACTAGACTTGTCTACACTCGGATCTACACAGGAAAGTCCTGTGGCCAAAGTTAGTATTTAGAAAGCACCCCAAGAAGTTGGTCTCAGTGTATTCTATGGGTATGAAATATTTCTTGCTTGTATGTGAGCTAGACACCTACCTGTTGCAGCTTCCGTGAGACCCAGCCTGACCTGTTACGCTCTGTCCCAGAATAGGCCTCACTCCCCACAGTCTAGAAGTTTGTGCTGTGTCCATCATCTGTTGCTAGGAAACATGGCATCTCCAACCTCTGTGGCCATAGGCAAGGCTGCTTACTTATGCCCTACAGTCATAAGAGGTCAGAGGTCTGAAAGAACTGGCTTGTCAGTCTGACTTGGATTCAGTTGTGGCCATCTCCCTGTTCTATGGAAGATGGTTGCTCCTTGGGCTGGAAAGATTCAGAATCTGTTCCCACCTCTGTGGGTCCCTCCTTGTGCTGATTCCTCAATCTTACTTAGATCCCATCTGCCCTCAGTTACTCTTGGCAACCTCCTCCTAACTCTTCCTTAGGGTTCATATCACCACCAGGGATGTCCATCATCTTCCAGATAGACAACTTGCTCATCCTCACTGTGGCTCAGGATCTTTGCCTCTAGGAGGTTCAGACCATAAGCTTATCCCTACCCCTAAAGCCACTGGGAAACCATCATGTGGTCCCTAAAGAAGGCAAGTAATGCCACTACAGAACGTCTGCCTGGGGGTTTCTCTAGCCAGAAAGGAATCTAATCTCAACCAGCCTTTGGAGTGTCACCAAATTCAGGCTTCTGGGAGGCTGCACCTCTGGAGGGTCACCACAGGGGGCTTTCTTTCAGTTCTTCCTCTGCCACTTTAGAACCCAGAACTTCGAAAGCCACTAGGCTGAACAAGAGGGTGATAACAATGTGTATCAAGCACTAAATAAATATCCTCCGCCCATCTGAATACACCTTCCTAGCCACAAAGATGTTATGCTTCACAAAAAGTCACGCTAATCCTCATTAGCCTACGCCTTAGCATGGTGGCAAAGCTGCCATCTTCTTCCCTGGGTGCACTGAGAACAAGCTTCCTTGTGCCTGGGTCTTTCTTTCCCTGCCCTTTAGCCAACATGCTGTGAGTAATGTTTCTCATAACACAGAAAGCGCAGGAGGTTCACAAGCCGGGAGTAGCAATGACTTGGTGTGCACCTTTGCCTGCCAGAGGAGTAGGGCACAGGGAAGGGCCTTAGTGTGGCCGGCAGCCATGGCTTCTGTACTCTTGAACACTGCACAGGTGGTTTTCAGCCTAACGATAAAGTCATAGGAGAGGGAAAGAGAACCTTAGAAACTGGGCTGGGAAGATGGCTTAGTTGATAAAGGATAGGGCTTACTGAGTCAGAGTGAGAACCTGAGCTCAACCCCTAGCTGGCTGTGGCAGTCTGTGCCTGGAAACTTCGTGCTGGGAAGACAGAGACAAGAGGAGCCCTGGGGTTTGTTGGCTAGCCCACAAATTGGCAAGCTCTAGTTTCAGTGAGAGACTGTCTCAAAAACTAAAGGAAAGAGATTGTCAAAGACTTCTGATGCTGATCTCTGTTACCACAAGCTTCTACACACACGTGCCTGCACACACATCAACATGTGCACACACACACACACACACACACACACACACAAGAGGGGGGGCAAGTACAATATAGGCACATATGCAAGCACAGGGTTTAGACATAGCTGGAAAGGGAGAAACCACCTAAACCATGAGGAACTGGGCATGCAGAGGCCACTGTACACACTCTGGTTCCTGAGCTAAAAAGCTCTCTTTTTTTTGCCCTGTAAGATCAAAGGAAAATCTGATCTTAAATTCCAAGAGCAAAAGTAGCCATTAAAACTCAAGACAGCAGGTTCACCTTCATGAATGAAGAGCAGTTCCAGCTGAGACAAAAAAGACTAAGACAGAGCTCAGTGCAGTGTGCTTGCCTGGCTCCCTGGATCCCACCC